GCTGTATTATAAAGACACTGTATTTACAGTGTAAGGTGTATATAATAGCCTAGGGAAACAGAAAGTTTTCCTACTTGAGTCTTAGAAGTCACCTTTTCAGCACTGGTAGCATGTTAGAGCTTTGCCTCTCTTGCTGTGAATTACACCTCGTTAGTGGTTTGGGATTTCTTTTTGCTTTTTGTCTATAAGTGGATAAATGCAAAGGGAAGACTGTAGGCATGCGGGAGGAGTATGATCCTTCTCCCATTGTTCTCAATGATGAAAACCTTTTAAAACCTATGAATACCTAGGTCATCTGAAAGGATGCTAACTATAAAAGAATCAGAGTGGTCTTGGTGCATCTCCTGGAGTGATGATGCTAGCTAGGCTGCTGTGTTCATCCTTAACTTTGCAGAATCATGTAACAGGATAGGCACTTAATAAGACACCTTTTATCTCTGATGTCTGATGATGATAGTGATGCATGTTTAGATGTGTTTATTTAGCTTTGTGCTTTGGAGTTGTGTAGTTTTTATGTTCACTGTTATTCACGTGGCTTTTGATAGTATGGGCTCTCTTAACATCTCATTAATTCTCCATCTGCTGTAGAACTCATTTCTCCCATGAGGTATGTAACGTTACCTTACAAAAGTTTTACATCTTCCAAATCCCAGTGATTCAGACTTCCTTCACGGTTTTTTGTTATTTTACCGAAACTGGGTTTAACTCTGTCTTGATCTTCAGTTGTTTTTCTAGTCTTGGTGATCCTAATCCCATTCGGGACTAAGGCTAGTATTCAGAAAACTGTTGATGAATATAGTCATTTTGGACACTTAATGCAAGAGGATAATTTTGGTGAAAAGTGTCTGGAATCTTTCTAAAACAACTCAATTAGGTTCCCGGGCTTTTATAATACAGAAGAACTGTTTTGAAGCCCATGTTTGTTTTGACCACAGTAGATTGTTCCTTCCGTATAATCCAGGAATGGTTCTTACTTCATGTATTTAGATGTAAAAATCAGATCATGAATCACTGAAGTAGCTGTAATTGCCTGTGAGCAACTTCTTTCAGTGAGGTCTCTCTTCTGGATTAGGTATGAAAATACGGAAAGGATGCTTAAAAGACAACTGACATCCTTCATTTTCCTCCTGCACTTCTATTGGGATACTCAGCGTGGGTGGATTGCTTATTAATGAAAGCAGCTTTGGGTAATTCAATGACCTGGTCTTGGCACTGTTGAAGGCGGTGATATTTTGCCATTAACTTTAATGGAAGCAGAGTTGAAACTCTTATTTGAGATTTCAAAAGTGGTTAAATTTAATACTGTTATGGGCTGGATATTTTACTGTCATCTGACTGGCTCCTTCAATTTCTTGCACTTTTGTGTCTAAGTGGTGGTGGTTGTTTGAATCTGTGAATGCATGCCTTATAGTTGGGTTTTGTTTATTCGGTGAGTAAATGTTTTCCCTGCTGAAGTGAAGCCCTTGCCAAAGGTCATCTGTTAGCCACAGTTACAGGTCTTAGTGGGTAGTAAAATCTCAGTTCTATGAGAAACTTCCACCTTTTGCTCCTAGTATTATGTACAGTCAGTTTACACTGCTCAGAAAAACACAACAGTCTCTTCAGTAACTTACTAAAAACATTGCGTGTTTTCACTGTGCATTCACCAATGCTATGTGCAAGGAAACATCTATTATAGAACTATGTAAGAAACTATTTCTTCCCTTATTCATTGTAGGAAGTTAGTTGGCGTGGAAAAAATACTCATTATAATATATCCTGAGGAAGGCTGGCTGTGTTTGAGTTGTCCCTTATGCATGGAAATTCTATGTAGTGTGCTTCCATATAGCGCTTTCAAAAAGTAATTTAAAATGAAAATTCTGTAGCTTTGGTGCTAAGAGTTGACCTTTCATGTTGCATGGAATAGTTAATTAATCCAGTGGCCTAACCCTTGTGTACATGGACTCTGTCTAAAATAGAAGTACACATTTAAGACACTGTTTTGATGTGTAGCATCTGCAGATGACACAGTAGAGAAATGGAGATGGAAGATATGGTAGGGATTTACTCCTCACCTTTGTAGCTTCTCTGTGGCACGAGAGAGACCTGGTAATCCATCTTTTAATACCCACATTAAAAACAAAGAAGCCCATATGCTTGCTTACTTGTCTTCAGTTTATGGTAAGTTGTCGTCAGAGCTGAATTAAGGCACACAGGTAAAGATCCAGAAGTACCTCATACTGCCACTGCTCTAATTTTGCCGGATGCATGCATTACTTGGGAACAACTGTATTAAAGCCTCCAGACTCACCAGCTCTTCTCCCACAGAAACTGGAGAATCAAACACCACTTTGCCAATACAGCTCGTTGTTCTTAATTCCTTACCTTGTATGCAGGCTCCTTCCCCCGGGTCCAACAGTATACAAAACGCCCAGATCCACAAATGGATTAGAAGTTTCAAAGTGTCTGACTTGCTGTGCAGTGATCTAACTAGCTGAGTACCTCACTGGCAGATAGTTGGTCAGATATTAATGTCTTGCCAATGGAAAATATCAGAACCCATGAGAACTGAATACTAATCTGTGTGGGTATGTATGTGGTCTGTGTCTTCTAGTGAGGCAGTTGATTAAAGAAATCACATCTGTCTGAATGTTAAAATGTTAATATTGTTACATTGCAGGAAAAATCTGTTTTTCTGTTGTGAATTTTAGCTGTATGTCTGACACACTTTTGATTGCACTTACTGCCCTCTGACTTTTTTAGGTTGAGTTTGGGTACGGGCTGATAGGATCCTCAGGAGGAGGATCTTGTGCTTGTGCTGCGTGTGTTTTTCTTTAGTTTTCAAGAGAACATTTAAATAGAACGGTAGTTAAATGATCTTGAGAGTCTGGCTTTCCACACAGATTAGCAAATGGCAGTTGGTCACTTTTTTCCCTTTTTTCTTTTTTTTCCCTTCACAGAACTAGAAAATTATAATTGTAAAATAGAGGGGCTTAGGAAAAGTGCCTATGACTTTTTAAAAACCTTTCAAATCACCAGCTTTTATATCAAAATGCTAACATTTGCTTAAAATAATTTTTAGAACTGAATACTAATCTGTGTGGGTATGTATGTGGTCTGTGTCTTCTAGTGAGGCAGTTGATTAAAGAAATCACATCTGTCTGAATGTTAAAATGTTAATATTGTTACATTGCAGGAAAAATCTGTTTTTCTGTTGTGAATTTTAGCTGTATGTCTGACACACTTTTGATTGCACTTACTGCCCTCTGACTTTTTTAGGTTGAGTTTGGGTACGGGCTGATAGGATCCTCAGGAGGAGGATCTTGTGCTTGTGCTGCGTGTGTTTTTCTTTAGTTTTCAAGAGAACATTTAAATAGAACGGTAGTTAAATGATCTTGAGAGTCTGGCTTTCCACACAGATTAGCAAATGGCAGTTGGTCACTTTTTTCCCTTTCCTTTTTTCTTTTTTTTCCCTTCACAGAACTAGAAAATTATAATTGTAAAATAGAGGGGCTTAGGAAAAGTGCCTATGACTTTTTAAAAACCTTTCAAATCACCAGCTTTTATATCAAAATGCTAACATTTGCTTAAAATAATTTTTTCTGTATTCTTACCTCAGAAGATAAGATTTTTAGCTGTTTGCTGCGTACATTGCTTCAGTTTTGACCATTATACATGTTCTGCGTAACGTCTGTTACTCATGCTGTGTTACAGAGTTGTTTTTGTTGGGCAGATTCCTTAATGTATTACTAACTGAAAAGAGAAGACAAAAGCGTAACTACAACATAACGAATTCTTCTGATGATTTGTTACTCAGTCATATCTTTCCAATGAAAGTCATGGACAGTCACTTCACTTTGAAAATGATTTTTGGTTTTAATAGAGAACTTACCCCATCCTATGCAATCTGTTTTTGAACAGTGCTTTCTGATCCCCATAGTGGTTTCTGCTGGATGATGTGAGGCGATGTTGCTCTTTTGGCCTTACACTTTTTACTCCTAGCATCTATGTGCACAGGCAGTGAAGAAATGAGCGGTGTGGGAAGGCCTTTGCATCGGTTCTGTTTTGTCTGCAATTAAACCCAGAGTTGCAAAATCTGTGTTCATCCTTCAGAGTTCGACGTGTAGGTCCTAGCTTTCCTATCATATAGACCTTATTACAAGTCCTTCGTCTCTCCAACCCATAAGGATTTATTGGCTTTTTTTTCATTACTGCTGTGTAGTTGGCAGTGGAAAATACCTGCCGTACCTGTAAATCTTATTGAATTAAAAGTAGTTGATTTGCACAGGTATAATATACTCCGGTGTCAACGCACTGCCTTGTCAATGGAGTGTAGATTCTTTCTCTTTTTCCTTTTCTCCTGTTACAATATTTCTGAAAGCTGACAGAGACTCTGTCAAAAGGTTTCAAGGCAAAAAGGTATAATTTGTTTGGAATGTAATGAATAATTATGCAGACAAAAATTTTACAACCATACCGAGAGATTTGCTCAGGAGAAGAGGCAACAGCTTGTTTTGTGGGCTCTACTGTGCGTGCCTGGCAGTGTGCTTCATTTTGAAAAGGCTTGCTCTGGTAAAAATAGGGTAACTGATATAGATATTTAGGACATCAATACATTCACTTCAAAGAGTACATCTCGGGCTATCAGCAGACCTCCTGGTCAGTTACTAATCTGCAGAAAGTGGTTTATTGATGCTCAGGGGAAAGCATGTTATGAGGTAGCTTTCTTCAAATGCGTGGTGGAAGGCTGATGAGTGCAGTGCAGCCAATACATGTATGCATCGGTAGAAAATTATAAACAAAACCAGAAGAGTGATCACAGAAGTTTATGACTAAGTAACTTTTATTTTCTGGTTCATTTTAAGAGTCTTTTGGAGGTTTGTCATAGAGGCCTGACTATGGCTTGCCTTATTCATATAGTCCCACTGAAATCAATTGGCCGCCTTGGGCGTGCGGAGAGAGCAAAGGCTTTTATTGATAGATGGCAGCAGTGTCTGCAAATGATCATTTCTGTATCCTAGGTCTGTCCACCTGGTCCCAGCATTCCAGATCTCGACATCGGAGGACTTCGTGTTCCAGACATGAAGATCGAAAACCTTCTGAGGTATTTCTGGAATTTGATTTGCATTTTGTTACATCTATCAAATACAAAGCCGTATACGCGTTCTGCTAATGGATCCATTTCTTCTGATTTACATTTTCTTTTCTTTTTGCTACATTTTAGCTGGCACCTGCCCCTCTCCCCCTTCCCCCCCTTCCCCTTTTTTTTTTATTTGCCAGGAGATTAGGGAGTTCAGCTGTTGGCACAGCCGCTGCCAGCACCAGTTTCTATCTGTGAATTTTGCTATAGTCTGACACCCATTCAACATAGCTGTGGAGTCTTTCTTCTAGTATTCTAGGCATCAGGATTTATTTGTAGCTTGATTTGTGAACAGAGAAAATTTACATTAGATGCATTTATTTCATAGTTGGTATTGGGTCTTGGTATGTGATCTTTGTTAAAGTGCTTGTCGAACTAGAAACCTGCTTCCTGAGAGTCTGTCTTGCGTAGTGCTTTGAGGAAATCCTATCAAGGGAGATAGAAGTCTTTGAACTTTCCAGGATGGATCAACTGTTAGTAACACATAAATGCGATCCAGTTCTTCGGAAATATTCTTCCTGAATCTCCCTATCTTTAGGCAAATACTACACTGCGGACTTTGTAGAGGCTGCAAAGAAAGCATTAGCTTTGGGAGATGGAATTTCTTCATTTAACTTACTTCCCCAATACGTGTATTTCTGATGCACTAGTGAGTGATTGATGTTGAGAAAAAAAATGCTTTATTACTCTCCCCAGTGACAGTATACCTAAGTCCCAGAGAAGAGTTTTCACACGAAGAATCCCATTCATTGTTCAGTGTGAACTACACCTAGTACTGGTGTTTTCCAATCTTCTTTTCTGATTGTTGGCTGTTGAAGACCTTTTTTCTTTTTTTTTTTTGTGAATGTGGAGACCCCTGTTTGAATTTATTCTCACTGATGATAGGCTTGCTTTCTTTAGTTATCATTTGTACATCCCTTGGAAGTAGCCCCTTAGACCCAGTTTTGAGAACTACCTTGTGAAAGGCTATCAAGAAATAATCTGAGATAATTACGAATCTTGCTGTTGTTTTTTGTGCGCTTCTGTTTTCTCCTCTCCCTTTCCTTGCATTTGTTGTCAGAATCTTTGCAGTTTTGTGCTGCTCTCTCTTGTTTTCTCAGCCTGGATGGACTTGTAATATACTTCCCTTTAGCTCTGTTCCACAGTCTTTTCCCACTCTCCCTCCCTCCATTTGCATTGTCTTTGCTCACCACAGCACACTATTCTGATGGTAAGTGTGCTGGCAGAAAAGTGACGCTTGCTAAACTCCCCGGGTGAAATCTTGGTCTCATTGAAGTTGGTGGCAAAATTCCCATTGACTTCAGCGTGGCCAGGGTTTCACCCTTTAGCTTTGAAGTGTTCAGTGCTTCTGAGAGCCAGCACTTCTGTAAGCTCTGCTTTGCTCCAGGCAGTCTGATTGCATCAGAAATTAGAGCAGAAAGAATGGTGTCACAGGGCCACTGGCCTGGGAAGGAGTTTCTTGGCTGTCAGGTGCTGCATTAGCTTTGCTTTTGAGGGAGTTTTGTGACAAATTTATCCGAGAGCCTGAGTTACTTTGGCTCTCAGATTGAGCAAGTTTTGCATCCCATTTTATATTTCTAGTCTTCTTTTCATTTGACATTTGATTGCTTTAATTCAGATTACTTCGAAGTGCAGAATCCCCTGGCCAGCTGTGCTTGTTTGTTTTGTGAGCCAGTTTACTTTGTGGCTTATTTTTCATTTCTTGATTGGAGCCTCACAGGACTTGTAATTTGATTGTTTAAAACATTTCATTATATTTCATTACCTGCATTCACCCTTTCCTTCATATGGTAATATTATTCTTTATTTTTTAACGTTGGCAGTTTTTCTGAACATGTCAAGACAAGTGTTAAGAAAAACGTGATTTTATGCTATTTTTATGACAAAACCGGAGTGGAAACGGAAACATACTGAGACATAAGTGGGATAGTACGGGTGTGTTGGGACGGAGGAGAGGTTTCAAGATGTGCAGTGTGGTGAGGCAAATCACACTTTGAAATATTCTCAGAAGTATAATTAACCATCAGGTTCACTGTTTCCCTAAAGTACTTCCCAAAAATCGTAGGAAATCTACTGAGATTTCAGGTGTGTGAATAGCGTATGACAGAAATTGGTGTCCTGGGGAGGCCTGCCTAATTAGCACTCTGTATACATCTGGTTCTTCCTCAGCCATATGCAACTGTTGGTTGGAGCTAACGTAAAAGAGCCAATGTCGCCATTGGTTTGGGACTGGGTAGGGGCCTGGGAGATTGTGTCACAGCCCCCGAAGAGTATCTAGGAGCACTGTCCTGATAATCTGTCTTTTCCTTTGTAACTCTGCAACGTGGGGCTGCGGGGATGTTGACTGTCTACCACAAACTGAGAAGTCTGCAGGGGAGCTTTTCTTAAGATGTTACCTACCTTTTTCTTGTCCTGGTGGTGCTTATTTTCTGTCACCTGGTTGCTTTTTAACCTTTCCCTTGAATGTGGCATTAAGTAGTTACAAATTTGTGGTTGTGGAGGTGAGGAGTGCTGAGTGCAGTTGCTCTAGTCTACAACAGCCTTGCCTTGCTTGTAGAGCAGGGTGGGGAGGGCTGGAATACGTGTAAACAAGTGCAGGCTTGTAGTTCTGATGCCTGTGATAGCACCCTTTGCTTTCTGCAGTGCTGACAGGCAGTGGCAAACCAGGCTGAAGCTGCCACAACAGTACCGCAGCGTGCCCACTACAAGAGTGAACCCTGGTTTATTTCATTCTGTGGCTTGTTGAAGACGGCATCGCTGCTTGTTTATGGCTATTAACCCAAAAGTTGCCAAACATCCTGCTTATTTTAGAGATGGATGCCTTTGCAAAGGCAAAGTAAAATTACAGCTATGATGCAGAGGTGTCTGTAGCTGATGGAATAACAAGCACCTGTGCTGAACACGGAGCTGCCACCAGAATTCCAGTTTGGGTCTTATTTTATTTGATCTTTTGGGTTTTTATTTTAAATGCTTGCACAAAGAGTCATCTCCTTAGAATTTCCTCTTGTGGCTCATCATGGTAGAGTCATGCCTTGATTTCTACCACGGGGAATTTCTAGAATGTCTTTGGATTAGTCAGAGCTCCAATAATTAAAAAAAAAATATCAAAAAACCTTGAAGTGGAAATGAGTCTTCCTTGTGCTGCTGTTTTAGGGTGCAAAGCTCCGGCAGCTTTTGTTGCAGCCAAAACGGAGGTAAAAGTGGGTAGCGCCTTTTAGCATCACGTCTCCAGTGCAGGGGGAGCACCAGGACTTGTAGTGGAGTTAGCTGGAAGTCATTCTGTCAGTATTTGCACCTTCAGCCACCCCTTTCCCTGCGATGAAGCTAAACTTCTGTCCTGCAGTGGGCTGGGTTAGTTCACTGTTGATACAGTGACCTTGTGTGCTCCATGGTTACCCTCAAGCTGTGAATCATAGAGTGTAAATATCAAATGTCAGTGTGTCTATTTTTCTCTCTTGGTCACTCTCTTTGCAGGTGTTCAGAACGGACCTGATCACTGCCATGAAGTTACATGACTCCTTCCAGCTGAACCCTGATGAATACTATGTGCTGGCAGACCCCTGGAGGCAGGAGTGGGAAAAGGGAGTTCAGGTGCCAGTTAGCCCAGGGACCATCCCAGAACCAGTAGCCAGGTATAGTTTGGAGGAATGTAAACAAATACACATACGTTTATGCTAGCAGCTTATGTCTACATTGCCTTGGCTTCTTGAGCTTTATTCCACAGTGTCTAGCTAGAAAGGTCTTGGTTCTCAGAGATGAAGAGCAGCCTGCCTCAGCTTTTTGAATGGTCAGAGAGGTCAAGAGTCAGGCCTGTTCTGCCTGTGTGTTGAAATATGAATGTCGGAGAATCATTTTTGGCATTACATTAGGATGGAGTGTGATGACAGAACCTTAAAAATAGCTTCTATTTTTAAGCCCAGACTTGACCTCACTCAGCATTGCTGGGAGAGCCCTTGTCTGATGCTTCTTGTGCTTAGTTCCAAGCCATAGGTTCCTTTCAAGGAACGGTTAGACAAGCCAGATTTAAGGGCTAGAGAAAATACAGCATTTATTTTGGTTTCACGTTATTTTTTTGGTTGTTTCATTTACTGACTTAGGAAATTGTTTGTTGTACAACATTTCAGCTGTTTTAAGAACCATCCAGATGTGCATGTAACTAAATACATTAATGTGAGATTTTCTAGCTCTTATCCAAGAAACCCTTATTTTCCTTACCTTGTTTGTTACACTTAGATATTGTTTTCTGTTTCAAATTAAACAGTACAGTTGTAAGGGCAGGCACGTGCTGCAGCCCACCTATCTATTTTATGCTTAGTTGGGATTGGAGTTGGAGAAAGTGAGAAGAACAAGGATTATTGCCATTTAATCGTACAAGATCTCTCTGAGTAAGTCCAGGCTGGCCTGTAAGATGTTACCAAATGACCCACCAGTGCTGGTGGGGCCAGAACAGCCCAATCTCTGATACACAGTAAAAAAAATTCCGGGTGACGCTACACTGCTTCTGTTAGGTCTGCATCTGCCAGCTTTAACCTTGGAGTAGGGGGTCTACAGGAATGTGTGTTAGCGCTTTTTGTGTTCAGTGCAGCAGCTTGCAGACCGCTGCACAGCCCCACTAGGTCTGTATAATGAGGAACTTGTCCACACATCAGGTAAACCCTTTCCTTCCTTCTCCTTCTGAAGGATTGGACTTGGCGCTCCAAGGAGAAATCGGTGTTTTCCTCTCTGCTGTGCAGTTCAGAACATGGGAGCATATTGTTCCCCTCCAGTGCTCGTAGCCTGCTCCACACTGACCTCACCCAGTCGCTGCATAAATGCACACACATTGTACATGTGTGCTCACATTGTCTTCTCCTCATTGCTTTCTCTTTCAAGCATCTCCCAAGGCTGCAGGAGGGCCAGGACACCTGTGGACTTTAGAGAGGGAGACCTTCCAGGGGATCCCCACCCCGTATCTTTCAGGGAGGTGTTTTGGTGGCTATATCAGATCCAGGTACTCACTTAGGAGAGAGCTTTTCTCTGGCAATGGCCAACAGAGATGTTGCTCCAAGTTCAGGGTATTAAAGGAGCTAGGGAAAGAAGGCACCCACAGTTGTAGGTATCGGCACAGGAGGCACCACTCTCTTTTAGTTGCTGAGCTATCTTGTATGCTCCTACTGGTGAGCACCTGCCGGTCAGAGTGGCCCTCTGATGCCCGATTATTATCCTGTTTGCTCTCTCATAAAACACTTGGAGAGCCCTGCCGTGGTGGTGCTGGAGTGCTGGAACTCTTGTGTGCCTAACTTTGGGAGGGGAGGGAGATGTTCTGTAAATTGAATCAGCAATAGTCAAATAGTAGCTGGTGTAGAACAGAAGCAAAATACCGTACAGATAGCTGATGCTAGTGAGGTACATAATAGAGAATAAAAGATTCTGGCCTTGTAGCAACTGGTCAGGGCAGCAAGAGTAGGTTCAGAGGGGTGGGGAAAGGAGTGAGTCTGTGTGGTGATTCAGTGTAAGCATGTGGTCAGATGGATAATTCAGTTGAACGTGTTTTTTGGTATGTAGTAAGTGTTGCTTTTTTTTACTCTATCACAGAAATAAAGAGATGAAGGTGGTTTGTTCTGAAGCCAAACTACCTGTGCTCATTTCTTCTGTGCCACTACAGTGGTATTTAGACAGTATGTGCAGGATGCTGCCCAGAGGTTGTGATTTCCACATGGAGAGGTACTCAGGAAGGAATTCATGGTACAGAAGATTTGGAGAGCAGACCTCAGTTTAAAGTAAATTCTCTGTGAGATATAGTAGTCTGTAATACTTTACTACTGTGCAGTATGACCAAGAACAGTTTGGGCAGTGCAGTTAGGCTGGCAAGGTTGTTCAGATTCGTATTCTTCCACAGACCCCTTCTGTACCTCAGAAGCCCCAAATTCAGCATTTGGCTCTTGCCCACCATTTCTCAGCTTGTTGGATGAGGGGAAGATTTAGGGCTGTGCAGGAGACTGAAATAGATAGAGGATTTACTGAGATCTGTGTGCAGATACAGTAGCGGCAGATCAGGGTCTTCTAATAGGAGGAGGAGTTAACACATTGGACTTCAGATGGGGGCAAAATAGCATGGAGGATGTCCTGCTTGTTGTGGAGCTTAGGCTGTTCCCAGCAGAAAGTTGTGTCTACAGGGAGTGGTGCTATCTCCTCCCTTGTAGCACTAGAGCACCAAAAAAGCGTCAATGCTGGCGGTGCAGGAGGCAGTCATTTGGCAGCGTGGCCTGTCGCTCCTGGAGGTACCAGCGTTACATCGTGAAGTGGGTTTCATCCAAACCGAGTTTCAGTGTGTGCAGTTAACTAAGAGAAGGTACAGTGTCCTCTACTGAGAGAACTCTGCTGCAGGTGGACTGACAGAGTTATCTTGCTGTTTGGAGGCAAGTCACCAGCTTGCTGATGGAATTACTGCTGTCCTTTGTGAATTGGGTGGTTTTGCCCCCAGCTTTGCAAAGTTGTGGCATTGCAGGAATCTGACCTAAAACAAGTTACGTGCTATAGGTACTTCACTGTTTCCTGAACCAATGCCGGTGGTCGAACAAAATTTCAGTTGGCTTGCAGCTAAAATACGCTTTCATGGTTGGTTGTCGGCCAACTGGAGCCTCCAAAACCTGAGACAAGGTAGTTTCAGCAGCAGCTGATTAGTACTTGCGCTTGGCCCAGCATGACATTAGTGATTGTGAAAGAGGAAATGCAGACCCAGGATGCCAGAGCTTGGGTCTGCTTGGGCAGGTGAGGATGAAGCCTAGTGCAAATTCCTGATTCTCTGTGGAAAGGTCTTCCGAATTTCACAAAGATGGCAATTCTGTAGCTACACACACACACACACACAAAAAAATTCAGAAGAAACATAGTGCAAGAAAGAAAACTTCAAATGTAGCAGGAAATACTACTTTTTTCCTTGAATTTTCTTGTTCTTGGTATTGTAACTAAACAGATTGATTTAAAAAAAAGTCTTAAAACAGAGTTTAGCATCTGTGTATATGGCAGCCATCACTACATAAATACAGTGTTCCTACTCTAGCTTTAAACAAGTGTGAATTTCAGGTAAGAGTAAGCACAGCGCTAGCCTCTAATCTTTTCATTTTATTTAGAATTCTGGTACTGAATTGGGTTTCTAGACAGCTCCAATGAATTTCTTATAATACCACCAATCAGTTATGAAAGTGCACTGTACTGTTTTCTCCTCCCATCTCATTGGTGCAAGATAATTGCTTAGATGGTTAGAAGATTGCTGATGATTGTTAGTCACTTAGAATGAGGCATTTTGAATTCTCTAGAAACAAGTCTCTCAGCAGCAACCCAGCACACCTGACGTCTGCTTGTCTGTCTGTTCTAGGATTGTGTCTGAGACGAAAGCTGTCACATTTACGCGTCCCAGGAAGTATATTGTTTCGTCAGGTTCGGAGCCTCCAGAGCTGGGCTATGTTGACATTCGAACCTTAGCAGACAGCGTGTGTCGCTACGATCTCAATGATGTGGACGTAGCATGGTTGCAACTTGCCAATGAAGAATTCAAAGAAATGGGTGAGCGATGAGTGCTTGTGTTTTTGTTGCCTTTTTTTTTTAAAGCTGGCAATCTTAAGAATAATTTTAGGGAGGGCAGCAGTGGGAAGAGATGATAGAGGTCTGAAGAGATAGTAATCATATGAGTTGGGGTAGCAATGGGAAACCAGACCTGATGTGATTAAACCCTAAGATATATGCTTTCATAATTGCCGAGTTGTATCTGCTTAGACCAGGTCAGAATCTGGCCACATGGGCTTTTTTCTCTGCTGCTTTCCATTTCACAAGGGAATTCTTGCCAAAGTTCCCATTTTGCCATCAAGATCCTTGAAGAGAACATCAGAGAGACCATTCAGGTAGTTTTTCCAGTTAGTCCTTTTTTTTATTTCTTTTTCTCTGCATCACATATCTGTATCATCTTTTTAGCTAGCGGTGTTCAGTGCGAAGAAGGTAGACAAGGAGTCTTGGGAGGTTTAGAGAACCTACACCAGCTGAATTGCGCAGGGAATGAGACAGTAAGGAATTCCCGCAGTGATTTATTGGAGGAACCTCCCAAACCTTACTGTGACCGTGTGCTCCAGTTCCAAAGCAGGAAGAGGAGCTGTCACAGGGAGAGCAACTGTTCCCTTTTCTACACGATGGCATGTGGGAAGGGGCAGGGGAGCAGGGCAAGAACAGGAACATTTCTTCGGTAAGGTGTGTGCTTCAGGGGAGGATTTCAATGGAATTGAAGAGGAGGTAAGTCAGCACAGAACTTTCACCACATTGTTTAGGTAAGGGAAAAGACGTTGTGCCAGATGGAAGAGGTTTGGACATGTTGGTGAACGCTGTTGATATTTGTTCTAGCATTGTGGCAGTTCCCTGCTTGGGGTTACAGTTTAGTCATACAGGTTTTACCTGGCTGTAGCCCATGCGTGGCATGGCTCAAGACCTGGTAAACCACAAACCGACCATTTATAACTCTTCAAAAGTTTCTCCTTTTTAAACCCACGTATGGAAGAAAGAGATGAGCCAGCCTTGACCTGGTCTCTTATCCAAGCCTTTTTTCCAGATCTCAAGTCAGGCCTGCTCAGGTTTAGTGTTTGGCTTAGACGATTTCAAAACAGTTAATGATTCAAGAGTTTAGGTTACCTTTCCCGTTATCTTCAGGAAAACAGCAGCAGCAAGTCCCCTTAGCTTTCTCCAAAGAAAAATTCAAAATGCTTTTTATGATTTGTAATCGATACCCATCTATCCAATGTAGATAATCCCCTCTGTCTGTCTGTCTTTTGCCAAAACCAGAGGAGGGCTACCCCAACGTTACACTTGGTGTGACTAGCGTTAGTGATAAAGCGCACAGGAGGGGCTCTTCATCGTGCAGATCTGTACCTGTGCATGAAGCCCTGTGGTAGCCGTTCTGCTACACCAACATAACCTTCAAAAGTACATGTTGCACGTGAAAGACTGAACAGCTAGGATTTGACAGATTTGATCTTTGATGTTGTGTTTTGGTGTAGTTTCTCGTAGTTTGTTTGCTCTAAATCTTCATCCACTCGGTTTTGCTGTACGCAGAGGGAAGGAAATGCTCCTGTCAGTACCAGGCAGTACATCGTGGGTCTTGAAATATGTACCTGAGTGCTCTGTCAGACACTGCACCCTACAGATACTATAAATGGGCTTTTGAAAAATGAAATATTTCCTGATCTGCAGTTGTAGCACTTCCTTCACGGTGTCCCTGCAGCTATGAATTCCCTGTGTTTTCTTTGATACCTGTCGGAGTGCTTCAGGTACTGAAAATGTATATTCTGTCTTTAAAAGAATGAATGTAAACATCTGAACTGAAGCCGCAGCCCCTTGATTCCCTTTTTTTAACCCTTATAAAAGCACAGTCAATGACATATCTCTAAGGGTTTTTTATAAAGTGATAGCAATCGTGAGGTTAGAATCGAGTTGCAAACTGGTCTAAAACCTGCCATCATCTGCTTTGCCGGTGCAATATTTCGGGGCTGCAGGGCAAAATTCACTCTCTTTCATCAGCAGGATTTTGGATGTTCCCTCTTGCTACCTTTCAGCTGCTCAATTTGGGTAGGTTGGGATGCATTGATCTCTGCTGCAAGGGTTTACCTGTAAGGGAAGCTGGAAGTACTTTTGTAGAGTGTTTGTCTTCTGATCTCAGGGAGCTAGAGATCTTAGTTTTGTGGAATTTTTTCTTAGTTTTGTGGAATTTGTGGCTCGGTTATTTACAGGGAGAGCCAAAGGGAGGATTTTCTCCTGAAAACACACATCATGAGGTGGCCGTCTTCTGTATGTCACAATAAATGTTAGGTATTGGGTATTAGACCAAAAGCAGAATATCCTAAGCCTATGCTTCATTGTAGTGATTTAAGTATATGGAAATTCTTGTGCTAAACTGACTTTGCAAGAGGAAAACGATTGTTTGCAGTAGCATAGCTTGCTTGGTTTCACAGGTGTTTGTGTGGCATGATTTTGTGGTAAAGGTTGGTGCAGTACCAACTTGGAAGTATTACAGCCAGCTCATTGTCACGGCAAGTGAGAGATGGAAGCCAGAGGGGGAAGCACTGTGCTCTTTTTTGGTATTTTTCTGGCTGCTTCTATTATAGATAATTTTTTCAGGTCTATAATAGTAATTGAATATAATTAACAAATTTGAATTATAGAATACTATAATGTAATCAGCCTGAAGCTGTGGTGTCATGAGCAATCTTCTGATGGATGCTGTTTGAAAAGACCAAATCCCAGATTAGATGTTGCATTTATTTATTGTCCCAGATTTGATGTTGCATTTATTACACCCATGTTTTTCACTTTTTAAAACAAACTAATTTATTGGTGTAGCAGGGCCTGATGAAGACCTCAGTTGGGGTTGCACCCTATTGGGTTGGAACTTGTAAAAAACCAAGAACTGTCATTAGAAAGTTGCCGCAAGTATCACAGCAGATTTTGTCACCGATTTCCCCCCTCTAGCCCCATCACCTTTGGTTCAAAACACTCTCAAATCTTTCACCAGAGAGTCAACATCTGGGTTGCAAAATTGAAGCAAAAGCCATAGACAGTGCTGTCCCAGAAGGAAAAATGAGAACAAGACCAGGAAGCCAAAATCAGTTTATGAAAGTTTTTCCTCAGGATTTTGAAAGATTGGTTTGGATACTCCGCTTCCATTAGTTTAATACAGTTATAAGACTTCTTTGACTTTTTTTTTCTTTACAGTTTCCCTTGTTTATGCTGGAATAGGCATGATTGTCTAGGAATGACATGTATGTGGGGGGGTTGGCGTTATCTACTCAGCTGTTAAAAAAGAAGCTGGAGTTGTGTGTGGCGGTGGTTCTCGCTCTTTCCTTTAAATAAGTAACAACTCCTGTTTCCCAGGGATGCCCGAGCTGGACGAGTACACGATGGAAAGGGTCATAGAGGAGTTTGAACAACGATGCTATGATAACATGAATCATGCTATCGAGACGGAAGAAGGACTTGGGATTGAATATGATGAAGATGTTGTCTGTGACGTCTGTCAGTCTCCAGATGGAGAAGATGGCAACGAAATGGTGTTTTGTGACAAATGCAATATTTGTGTGCACCAGGTATGGCGGCCAGGGCACAGTGGGGGAGTGTAGGGGTGGTGACAGAAGCTGTTCCAAACCATTAAAGATAACAGGTTGGATTTTTTCCAGTGACAGACATTGATCTGTTAAGTTCTTGCGGAGTTCACCATTGAGCGGTGGGATGAATTCAGAAATCATGTAATTGAGAAGGAGAATTGTTACATGCAATTCTAGAAATGTCATGCTAAGAGGGTTAAAAGCGGTACTGTGTCTGTGTGGAGGAAGTTAGAAGGTGAGGAATAGCCTCCCCAAAACATACATGTGTGTATTGTTGTACATTCTCACCTGGTCACTTCTCTCGCTATATTCTTTTCCTCTCTTTCGGCACACTTCTGGGGCTAACACACCTTTAGTACCAGCAGCTTAGGCTCAGCAGAGAAGGGGAAAAAGAACTTTCAGGCAATCAGTAGGGACACAGGTAGGATTTATTATAGTTATTTTAATTTAATGGAGAACCTACTGACCTGAGCTGAGCTAATGAAGTACTATTATGTGCCACCTTTTTGTGACGGTTAAGAAGTCGTCTTAGCGTGAAAGAACAGATACAATTTTAGCGTATCTGTTTCCGTGGATGCTTCTTACTGTGGCAGATGCCTTCCCATCAGCCTGTCCTTCCTTCCCAGATTTAAGAAGTTCGCTTTGTCATTCAGTGTTTGGAAAACTGTGTTATCCGATGAGCAAGAATGGCATTTTCTTGCATGTGTTACTTAAATGCATTTGTACTAACGATAAAGAAATACGCCTATGACAGCTGTAAGGTACAAACGGCTATCTTGCAAGATACTCAGAGTAAAGTGGACGTTTTTAGACCTGTAGCGGTTCTCTGATCATATCAGATCTGGAACTTAAGAGGATTAAAACTGACAGTAATTTGGACGGAGGTCTCCATAAAGATGCAATCTTCTGGAAAAAAGTGATCTTAGTTGCTGTTCTGCACTTTTCCCTCTGAGTAAGAAGTAAACCCCAATGCCTAGTAATAAGATTGAGTATTGCACAGCAGGGCTCTTGAGTTTGTGGTTCTTGCCTTTTGAATTAGATACAGTCCGGTTCCTGTTAAGTGTAGTCTTTGCGATACTGAACTTCATCCTAGCTGACTGCTGGCAGGCTTGTCTGTCGGGAGTGCCCTTGCTCTTTGGGCTGGTAAACACATTCTTCATTTTCCCCATTGAAGTGGGCAGTGGTTTTTTGCATAACAGCTCGTCATGACTTCTCCTTTCACTGAAGGATCGTTTTGGGGAATGAATGGGTACCGTGGTTGGCTAAGTTTGTGAAAGCGACCCGAGATCCTCCGCGAGCTAATGTTTCTGTAGTGTTAGAAATTCCGTAAAGAGCATTTTGAGAGTTGTGAGAGGCTACATGTAAACAGCTAAAAAGTAACAGGAATGCATGTTGTTTCCTTTGTTTTCTTTCCCTTTTCTATAAACGGGAATCCAGGCATGTTATGGGATCCTGAAGGTGCCGGAAGGCAGCTGGCTGTGCAGGACCTGCGCGCTTGGCGTTCAGCCCAAGTGTTTGCTGTGTCCCAAGAAGGGCGGCGCCATGAAGCCGACCCGGAGTGGCACCAAGTGGGTCCATGTTAGCTGTGCTCTGTGGATTCCAGAGGTAGGTGCCAATCCTCTGGGAAGTTCAGGGCTGCAGTGATTCTGGGAGAGAAGAAATCTGTTAAAAACATTGTTCCACCTAGTGCGTGTTGCTACACTGAGTGTAGCGTATATACGGTACTTCTTAGGAAGACAGTATAAAAGACTTTCAATTAGATGTAAAGTCTGGCGGGATGAAGCATCATCTGTAAAGAAAGTAATATTACCTTTATCAACCAAAATTAGGCCTCAGAAACGTAGGCCTTTGCTGCTGGCAAAGCTCATTTAACAAGCACACAAAGTGCCGTTTTATTTTGTAAATGGAACATCAAAGGTGAATCGGGAAGGTTTGGATGCGACAGTGAGAATTCCTGTGGGTTCTCATAATCAAAATATTAATCCTGTACGATAATTTTAAATTGGAGGGCTTCACCTTGAAACTGCTTTGTTCAGGCAGTGAGGAACTCTTTTTTTAAAAAAGGAATTTTAATTTTTTTAGTTCCTTATAAACTGAGGAACTTGGAACATGCTAATTTTGCATATGCACACAAGGAATTTCATTTCTTTGATAAAACTGTTCCCCTTTTCAGTTAACAGCGTAATAGTCTGTTCTTTAACTTTTTTTCTCTTAGGTGAGCATTGGAAGCCCAGAAAAAATGGAGCCCATTACAAAGGTTTCTCACATTCCCAGCAGTAGATGGGCACTGGTGTGCAGCCTTTGCAATGAAAAAGTTGGAGCATCTATACAGGTAACGTAATTGCACAAATGTCCGTGCGTTTTGTCTTGTCAGCTTTTAGTAGATAAACAGAATGTGTATCTGCAGTAAACTACTTCGATTTCCTGTTTGTTACTATGGTCTTAATTGCACAGAAAGTGCTTTTGAATGTTACTGTGCTCTTGCTTTCCAGTAAAATTTTAATAATAGCCAGGTCATCCCATAAGACTTCCTAATTTGTAGATACGCTGATACGTTTATTAGTACACTGAAATAAAGCTTAAATGTTGTTGAGCAGAGGGGAGAAAAACTGTATTTCTGCGATATACCACATACAAAACCAAAGCTTGAATGCCGAAGGCTTCTGTGCTGAAACCTATCTGCTAGTTCCTATTTAGCAGCTTCTAAGACAAGTTGGATACCTCAGTGGGAGTTGAGTATTTCCTGTAATAATCTGAATTTTTAAGGTGCTGAGCATGCCCAGTTCTCAGTGAAGTCAGTGGAAGTGAACACCTTCACTTTGGTGATGAAGGTAGTTGTGGCTTTGAATTTCTACTTTTAGGTACTGCTTAACATTGGACTGTTTTGGCTGTAACTATTTTTTCTGTAACTTTTATTGTTGGTCCAGCTTTTAAGTTGCTGAGGAGAGTATCTGATATTTAATATTAGGCTTTTTGAGCAGTAGGAAAGAAACAGATTGTTCGACTCGTCTGTTCTGAGATTGAAGCAAGCCACAAGCTGAGGAAGTAAGCCCCATTTCCTCCACTGGTTGTGGGTAGATTCTGGAGCTCTTGGTGTTTCTGAGGGGGAAGAAACCTCCTGGATGTGAGTTTCCCAGTTCACGTTGCTGTAGAAGCAGTGCCACGTTACCGTTCTGACTTCTGGTCCTCACTTGAGCTCAGGGACGATCACTGCCCGAAACAGCAAGACGGGGCAGAATCAAAACAAATGTCTAGTCTTCATAGTTCCAAAAAGAATGATTTCCATATGCAATAGATAATTAAACTAGAAAGCCATTGTTTCATACCGACAACTCACGTTCTTGGGCCAGTGCCAATTTGTCTCATTGCGTATTTCTGAAATTCTCTCTGCAGTTTCAGTTGGATTTGGATTCAGCCTTTCTCACCGTAGCCTGTGAATTGTTGCTGTTAAATAACTGAATTGATCTGCACCAGAGCATTTCAGACTGGGCAGTGTGGTTTCACGTGCATATTTATACTGGGTTGTTGGCTGTAAAGCACTTGCAGATCCTTTACAGTGGAATATGGCTCAGAAATGTTAAATAATAATTTTTAGAACAATTTTAAAATCTAGAGAGATTGAGAAAACACATTACCAAGCCCCAAATTTTTGAAAGAGGAGATAGTTGGTTTCCTGAGACACGGGACAAAACTTTGATCTGCCTCACTCGAGAACAAATGATGAGAGCAAGGACAGGTGACCCACTTGGGGCAGTCTCGTGGTTGTGTAGAAAGAGACAATAAAAGGTAGCTTAGTATTATGGTAATGCTCTTCGCCTTCAAAGTGCTTCATATACTTCAGCAAAATGATCCTCAGAAAGCTCCCCGAGACCGACAGGAAGATGCTACTGTCTCATAAGAAGTAGAGCTCTTTCTATTTTGTGGCTAGCCTAATGTTACAGGATCCATGACGGTAAGACCAGCATGAAGACACAGAAATTTCAGTCCTACACTTTTTAAAATTAGGTTTTATCCATTTCCTTTTTTCCTCTGCTCTGAGTCACTTGATGAGGTTGCCAGCAAAAGTTGTAAAAGAGCAACGCAGCGGTAATTCCAGTGAAAATACCTGTCAGTCCGTTCCCATTTAAGGAATATATAAAATAGTAAATGTTAAGTAGAGAAAATAAATCTGTCCACAGCATGTAAGTTTGCAATCGTAATACCTCCTTGAAGAGCTGTCCCCTTCCTCTTGGCCGCTGTTACGTAGTTGAAACTGTTCTGTCCATTCTGCAGACCTGTTCTGAAGGGTAACTTACAGTGGTGTAAGTTGAACACTTGAGTATTTATGTATGTTAGTGTGCAGGGGAGGGGGGAGCGTCTCTCCATATTTCTTCTGATAGCACCTCTCCCCTTCTAGTGATGACACAGGATGCCATGCAGGCACGATGGCTGCCACTTCAGACATTTCTACGCTTGAAATTAGGAGGGGGAGACAAAAAGTTACAGTTTTGCCTGACATTTTATAGGAGTTGTGTAAATCTTGGTATCATTAAAGCTAGCAGTGAGAAATATTTAGATTTGTGCTGTGAAATTTTATACAGCAGAGAAGAACATTATACGAAGCCACTGCAATAGAGAGGAAGTAGCATTAACTGGATGAACTGAGAGAGAGAGACATCCTCCAGAGTTGTTACGAGATGTGCACAGCAATTAGAAAAGGCGGCAGCTGGAAGCATGCATCAGGCTGGGCGGAGAGCAGCTGCAATAAGCTGGGAAAAACGAGACTGCA